CAGCTTTTGGGATGGGAAGGGAGCAGATTTGGGGTTATTCAGCATTTGGGATGGGAAGGGAGCAGATTTGGGGTTATGCAGCATTTGGGATGGGTGGGAAGGGAGCAGATTTGGGGTTATTCAGCATTTGGAATGGGAAGGGAGCAGATTTGGGGTTGTTCAGCATTTGGGATGGGTGGGAAGGGCGCAGATTCGGGATTATTCAGCATTTGGAATGGGAAGGGAGCAGATTTGGGGTTGTTCAGCATTTGGGATGGGTGGGAAGGGCGCAGATTCGGGACTATTCAGCATTTGGAATGGGAAGGGAGCAGATTTGGGGTTATTCAGCATTTGGGATGGGTGGGAAGGGCGCAGATTTGGGGTTATTCAGCATTTGGGATGGAAGGGAGCACTTTTCTCCTCCCCTCAGCCCCGGTGCTCTGCCCGTGCCCGGCTCTGCCAGCAGCTCTGGCACAGGGAATTCCCGTGTTTGAGGAGCAGGCTGGGCACCCTGGGATGGGCACGGAGTCATCAGGGCCACCTGGGGATGCAGGGCCTGCGGCTGTGTCCTGGGGCATGGCAAGGAGTCACAGCTCAGCCCCAAAGGTGGGTGTGACCCCGCTCCAGCCACGTTTCTTCCTGGCCCCACCTGGAGGGACAGGACAGGGGAAGGGATCCCCGTGCCAGAGGGCAGGGATGGATGGGATACTGGGAATTGGGAATTGTTCCAGGGACACATCTCCCTGCTGCCCCTGCATCCCTGGCAGTGCCCAGGGCCAGGCTGGACAGGGCTGGGAGCCCCTGGGACAGCAGGAGGTGTCCCTGCCATGGCAGAACTGGAATAGATAATTTTTAAGGTCCCTTCCAACCCAAACCGTTCTGGGATTCTCTAGCAAAGGAACAGGATTCTGGCACTACAATCCCTGCAGTGTGGGAATCCTGCCCCTGGAATTGAGTTGTGTCTCCATTAATTCCTAAAGTGACTGTGTCAGGTTGAGTTTAAACCCGTTTTTTTTTTTAAGCAGTGTTTGCCTGGCAAATAATAAGAATTGTGTTCAATTACTTCACAAACAATAAAAGAAAAATCCACACAGCCTTTCCTCATTTTCAAAGGCCTTGTGGAGCACAGGGCTCTTCTTAACCCTGAGGTCTAAAAGAAACACCAGGTTCAGGTTATATTCAAAATCTGCAGCAAAATAATGTGCAAATATCAGGTATCTCTAAGCTAGAACTAATTGTTTATTTTCTGGTTGACTCAAGTCTCAATTCATAGAACAAACACAACTCAAACCCAGCAATTAAAAATTAATGTTCCCTTTACTGCTGATTGATGTGGGAGCTGGGATTAGAGGTCATGTAATTATCTCATGCTTATCAGGTAGAAAGAGTTTTAGTTCATTGAACTTTCTCTTTCTGTCTCCATTCTGTGATTCCCATCAGACATTTGGGAGTTTATTATCTCCTCACTCTTCCTCTGTGGTGAAGAGACAGAATGAGAGACAGAAAACCAGCAAGGAAAGGAAATGACTCTGGCAAACCACTAAAGGTCGCTTTACAATCTCATAATTTCATTTCCTCCTTGAAGTTTACCTGGGAGTCCCAAATAATTTTTTTTTTGGCTGTAGCTGTGGCCCAATGTGAAGTAGGAACTGCAGCCACGTGTTGCAATCCTGTGGTATTGTGGTGACAGGAGGGTTTATAAACTCCCCTTTCCTCTGCAGACTTTGGGACCAGAACTTTGTTTCCTCCACATCTCAGAGCCAAGTTCCAGCTGCAGCTCCAGCCAGAGGCTCCCCAGGCAACGGTGAGAACTCATTTCTTCTTTGTTCTAATGCAAATTTAGAATTATTGATTTGAGAGTGGATTGGAATAGTCTTGGGGAGGTTTTCCTCAGGGCAGTGTTTATGTCCTGATAAAGTTTAGCACGTGATGTGCACCTGTGAATTCTGCTTCGGCTGTACCCTGTGTCAGCAGGCAGTAACAATCCTTTTATTGACCAGGGTTGGTGTTCTGGGCTGGCAGTGCTGCCAAACTCCTTTACCTGGCTGCTCTGCCCCAGTGGCTCCTGCCTGAGCTGGGGCTGGCCCAGGTGAGCTCCAGAGGTTCCTTCCTGACAGGAATCCTTGGAGATTCCCAGTGAAGGAACCTGGGCTCAGCCCCAGCCCTCGAACTCCACAGGGGACACCAAGGATGCTCTGTCCCTGTGCCAGGTGAGACCCCACCTGCAGATCCTCCTGCCCTGGGGTCTCCAACATCAGCAGGACCTGGAGCTGCTGCAGAAAGCCCTGAGGAGCCCCAGAGCTGCTCCAGGCCTGGAGCCAGGCTGGGAGAGCTGGGAAGGTTCACCTGGAGAGGAGAGGGATCCAGGGACAGCTCGGGGCCTGAAGGGGCTCCAGGAGAGCTGGGGGAGCTCACCTGGAGAGGAGAGGGATCCAGGGACAGCTCAGAGCCCTTTGCAGGGCCTGAAGGGGCTCCAGGAGAGCTGGAGAGGGACTGGGGACAGGGGATGGAGGGACAGGACACAGGGAATGGCTCCCAGTGCCACAGGGCAGGGATGGATGGGAGATTGGGAATTGGGAATTCCTGGTTGGGATGGGATGCCCAGAGCAGCTGTGGCTGCCCCTGCATCCCTGGCAGTGCCCAAGGCCAGGCTGGACATTGGGGCACCCTGGTACAGTGGGAGGTGTCCCTGCCATGGCAGGGTGGCACTGGATGGGATTTAGGGTCCCTTCCAACCCAAGCAGTTCCATGACTCTGTGATTCCCTGATTCTCTGAACATTTGGAGCTGGAATATTCTCATTTCTGAAGTGCTCGGGCACTCACTGGTGTTGTTCAGAATCTGAGTTTATTTCTGATTAATTTTTCAATACAATGTTGAGATGGGGGAGGGATCCTCTCCCACATCTGCAATGTGAATCATTTCCATGCAAATTGTTGAGTGTTTTCATCAAAAACCTGAATCATGCAGCTTCTCCCTCAAAGAGGAGAAACTTTTCTGTTTTGGAGGTTTTAGTTGTGATGAATGGAAGAGAAGGCACAAGTCCCACTGCTCTACCCCAGTCTGAGCTGCTGTTTTGATGTTTTGATGTTCAGTTTCAGGTTTATGAAGTGTGGTGACCAATTTCATGTTTCTGTGACAGAAACCAGCAATTTTCAGAAAGTTGCCAAATGAATCTTTCTGTTGGAAATTCCAGCTAATCCTGCCTGAAATCTAAGAGTGTAATGAAGCAGTTATTAGCACTGCTAATAGGATATGATAGATTTTAGAGCTTTTTTTCCAAACCTAAACTATTCTGTCATTTCTGTCCAATAATAACTGGCTTTTCCCTGAGCTTTGTGCCCCTCTCTGAGCACAGCAGGAGCTGCTGCCTCTCCTGGACACTCTTCAGACACTTTATTGGAGCTCCTGGTCCCGTTAAGAGCTGGGTACAAATCCAAAGGGCACAGGATGATTTGTGACCAGGATTTAGGATGCCCAGAACAGCAGGAGCTGTACTAGGGACTGATGGGCTCAGGAATGCACTGTGCTCTCCAGGAATCAGGAGGTCTACTCCTCTTTCATTACAAAAAGAGTGGTTTGGGAGGAAAAAAACAACAACTCAAACCACTTAATTTTTGTTTTTCACCTGCATTCAGCCTCTCACTGTAGTTAGAATAGGCTTTGAAAATGACATTGACCATCTCTTTCTTGAAGGGATTTTATTTCTGTTAATTTGGTTTACTCTCAGTTTGAAAAGGTCTGGAAGTGCACCTAAATAACTGGGTTTTAGAGTTTAAAAATTAGAGTTTAAAAAAAATAGAGTTTTTACGCACCTAGTAGTTATGACAGTATTTGGCAAAGGTGTTTGGTGTTTTATGGAGAGTTCTGGTGGTATTTGGGACGAATTCAGGAGAAATATCCATTTGTATGTTGGACACAGAGCAGCAATGATCTCCACTCCCAGCCCTTCCTGCAGACAGAGCTGGGCACTGAACCCAGCAGGAATTTTGCCTGGAATGGTTCACAAGCTCAGGCTGTGAGAGCTCAGGAGGATCCCAGAACCAGGAGCAGAACTGGAGCTGGCCCAGCTCTGCTCTGGGCACTGGCCCTGCTGTCACCTGCTCAGAGATGGAGACAGAGCCCAGCAGAACCTTCAGCAGCTCCTTGGGCTCATCCTCAACCCTTTGCTTTAGTGGAACTGCTGATGAGCTGGGCCAAACTGGGCTTTGGGTGGGTGGAAGGTGATGCCTTTGATCCTTCAGGGCAGTGCCCTGGCCATGGGGAATCATGGAATCACTGGGGCTGGGAAAGAGCTTTGGGATCCCCAGCCCAGGCTGTGCCCATCCCAGCCTGTGCCAGTGCCACCTCCAGGGATGGGGATCCAAACCTGCTGGGCAGCCCCTGATCCTTCATCCAGTGCCTTTTCCATGGAATTGGTCTCACTGGACCAAGCAGGGCTTTTCCTGCACAAGGAACATTTAACAAAGGGCCAGCCCAGAGCCACTCACACAGTTCCCTTGGAGTGATTCCTTCTCTGAACTGCCTTGGCATGAGAATCCCAAATGGATCAAAATCATGGCTCCAGCTCCAGCACAAACCTGAGATTCCATTTTGAAGGGATCCCAGAGTTCTCAGAATGGGAAGATGCTCCTCAGCTCACTGGACTCATTTTGTGTCCTTGTCACCCTGCCCAGCCCCAGCCTGACTTTGGAGCACACTCAGCCAACCTCAGTGAAGTTTAATAATTGGTTTTTTCTCCCCGACAGATGTCTCACCTCCTCTGTGCCCTACTGTCCCTGCTTTCCTTTGCTGCCCTACTGGAAAGTGCCCAGTGGAAACTGCAGGAAAATGGTAAAGAAATCTCTAAATAGACCTAAAACTTTGGAATTAGAATTGTGGCCTCTAGCACAGGACCTGTTGACTCCTGTATCTTAGGCCAAGGCCATATGTTTATTTCTTTGACCATAATTAGTTGGAGTTCATGGAAAAATCTTAAAAAGTCCTAAAATGTCTTCCAACAGCATATTTGCAACATTTGCATTAGCAACTGTTTTATTTCCTATTCCTTCTCCTTGTGTTCAAAGTCTCACAGCCTGGATGCAAAAACAGTGACTAAGGGAACAGCCCTAAAAAAACAAGGGAAGAATCAGTTGTGAAAAAGAAAATATATTTCTGAGTAAAACCTAAAACCTAGAAATAGTTTATCAGCTTCTCTGGTAAAGATATAAATCAATAATATAAATATAAATATAAATATAAATATAAATATAAATATAAATATAAATATAAATATAAATATAATAATTGTTTATTACCTACCCTACATTTTCACAAATTATTTACCATTTGTGAAAATATAGGGTAGGTAATCAACAATTGTTTTGAATAATTTATCAGAAAATTGGGCTAAATTCAGATTGTCTTCTCTTTCAATTACTTATCCTTACATTAAAACGAATATTTATCCTGGGGGTTCTCTGGGAGGGATTGGATGCTGAAAGCAGCAAATCTTTGCCAGCATTGAGAGTAAACTCTGAGTTAGAAGATTCCCTTTGCCCGTGTCCACAGGGAGTTTGGGAGACTCCTGAACTTCCTAGAGCTGAGCGTTTGCTGCCAGTTGGGATCCCGTGTTGGACAGGTGTTGGGAGTTTGGCCGGCTAAGGACTGGAAAAGTACAAAACCGTGGCTAATTCCAAGTCCTGCACCTGCAAGATAGAGTGTCCTTGGGCCTAGCTGTAGTAGGATAACAAACAGTGAAAGAGACACGAGAAAAGAGAGATGTAACCCCTAAGGAATGAGGATGAGTTAATGCTATAGTTTAACCAATAGATTGCTTGGCTTGCAGAATATTCATAAGCTTATTGTTTGCTGTATAAGTGTTTGATACTTTCTTCAATAAACTGGACCAGAAGGACCTGAGGGACCGGGACCGGACCGGACCTGAGGGCCATGATGAACCAAATGGTGTCCTGGTCCCCTTCCTTCGACAGACAGGTTTCTCAGGGTTTCTCCTCTGTGGAAAAGCCTCCCTGGGGAGCTGAGGGGCCAGGCAGGGCTCAGCCTGGTCATTGTGAGCAGCTCTGATGTCTCCTCTGCCCTGCCCAGTGTTTGTCATCGACTCGCGGTGGGACGCCGAGGCCCCGGCCACCATGGTGGAGCTGAGCTGCGACAGCCCCGAGGAGGCCGTGCTCTGGAGAAAGGACTCCAGCCCCTTCCAGGAGGGGAAGCAGAGAGGGAAGACCCTGAGGGTGGCAGTGAAGGAGCTCCCAGACGGCGGCAACTACAGCTGTGTGAGCCAGGAGAGCCTGAGGGTGCTGAGCTCCAGCCTGCTGCTCATCGCCAGGATCGGCCCTGATGGGACCATCCTCAGGGACATCCTCAAATCCTTCCAGGGTATGGCCCCCGGGCTGGCATTGTCCTGATCAGCCTGTGGGAATGGCCTTGCAAAGGTGCTCTCTGTGCTGGCAATGCCAGAAATTCATCCCTCCTGTGGCTCTGGGCAGGGCAGCACAGGAACCAGGGCCATGGGATTTATTTGGGATTCTCCAGGCTGATAGGGTGGAGGGATGGGAGGAATTCCTGGTTTGGAAAATCAGGGCTATGTGACAGGAGCCAGGGAAGGGCTGGGGCTGGGCCAGGGCAGGGACAGGCTGGATTTTGGGAAAGAAGAACCTTTGGGAAAGGTTCTTCCCCCAGAGGATGCTGGCACTGCCCAGGCTCCCCAGGCATGGGCACAGCCTGAGGCTGCCAGAGCTCCAGAAGGGCTTGGACACCACTCCAGGGAGGGATTTTGGGGCTGGGCAGTTGGACTCCATGGTCTTAGTGGGTCTCTTCCAGCTCAGGAGATTTCAGGATTCTGGGAATTGGCAGAACCAGGGCCTGGCGCAGGTTTGAAGTGCAGCCACTTGGGCCTCTCCATTCAGGAGACAAACCTGGGATGTTTTGCATTTTCTGCATCAGCCTCACTCATCTGAGTCTCGTATTTGAGTCCCTCATGGCACTGCCATGGAATCTGAATTCAGGAATTGTTTCTCTCTGCCTTGGCCATTTTGGCAAACAAGAGTTAATAACTCCTGGTTTCTGTCTTTCTCTGTCTAGAGCCCAAAACATTTTTGAAGTGTGAGGCAAAGAACTACTCTGGAGTTTTCACATGTTCCTGGATGACAGAAAATAATCCACATGTGAAGTTCACCATCAGAAGCCTGGAAGGGTAAGAGTTTGTACTTCCCTTCACAGGGCAGCCCTTGGTGTTATTGTGTGTAGGATTTCAGGCTGTTAGGGGCAGGCAGATGGGGGGAAATCTCTTTTCCAAGTTTGAACATCCCCAAAATGTTTTGAGTCATTACTGGGACAAAGTTAACTTAAAAAGGGCATGCAAGTCACTCAGAAATTATTAAAGCCTTGAAAAAGGAATGAGTCCAAGTGGGCTGGAGTAGCCACTGGGTAACTTAAGCAATAGCAAAAGAGTCGGTGCAGGGCAGAGAGGAAGTGGAGCCAAGGCAGAAAGAACCACAGCTCCCAGGGCAGGGAGGAGTGGGAGGCTGCCCCCACTGCAGAGCACATGGCCCCGACAAGGCTGGGCTGAGGAACCCTCCAGAAACCTGTGCTGGGAACCCTGGGGGGATTTCCTGCCTCCCACTGCCCTGGGGCTTCTCCAAAGCAGGGAGTGCTCCAGCAAAGGTCACCCCAGCGTGCTGGAGGAGAATCAGCTGCCAAGGGTGCAGCTGGCTGAGAGCAAAACAGGGCCAGCCTCAGGTGATGCTTTGCAGCTTTTGGTGTTTGCTCTCCAGTGGAGACTTCTCAGCCCTCATTCCTTCAGCAGGGTTTGGGAGAGGGCAAAGGGACTAAAGAGAAAACTGAAGCTTGCCATGGGATGGTGGAAATGGGAGATCCTGGTTTAGGTTTAAATATTAATTCCTGCTGCTGAGGCTGAGAATTGACATTAACCCATCCCACAGCACTGGGAGTGTGGCAGCTCTCACTGACCCTTTTCTGCAGCAGACAGACTTCAGGCAAACCAAAGCATTTCCTCAGCAGTGCTGCTGCTGGGGCAGCCACTGCCAGGACAATCAGCTTTCCCTGAGCCTGTCCCTGCTCTGTTCCAGCCCCCAGGGTGATGTGTCCTGCAGCACCCCTGTGGCTGTCACCGAGGGGGCCCTGACCACCTACACTGCTCAGTGCCACAAGGAGAACTTCTGTCCCTTTGCTGAGGAGCACCAGCCCATCGACATCCTCCTGGAGGCCATCGATGAGGTGCTGTATGAGAACTACACCGCCAGCTTCTTCATCAGGGACATCAGTGAGTAGCCAGCAGCGGGGGCTGATTCTGGGCTTTGTTTTGTTGGGCGTCAGGGCTCAGCCCAGCCCTGGGAATCCCTGCCCCGTGCTCTGTGAATGTCCACCAGGCCCCAGTTACAGGAACAGGGGATGCCAGGACAGAAAAGGATGAGGAAGTGAAGCAGCAGCATCTTCCTGGCTTGTGACCTGCAGTACCCCAACACCCACAGGTCCCTGAGTGTCCCCAAAGGATGGACGTGCTTGGGAAGGGCCAAAACAGAGAATAAATCCAGCAGGCTCCTCTCTGAGAGCTGCTCAGGCCAGGGATGTTTCCCTCCTCAGCCATTCCCAGATGAGCAGCCAGGGCAGGTTCACAGACAGGCAGGGATGTTTCCCTCCTCAGCCATTCCCAGATGAGCAGCCAGGGCAGGTTCACAGACAGGCACAGGAATGAGAGGGCTCTGAGTGTGGCCACAGGGCACAGGAAAATGAGGAGCATCCCACAGAAACAGAGCTTTTCCTAAATGCATCAATGGTCAGCAGGTGCTGAAGATATTCCTGTGTGACCAGCAGAGTCCTCTGCAACTCTCTAAGCCAAAAAAAGAGAAGGATTTTATACAGATTGAGTCTAGGAATGTGCTTAATTTTCCATAAAAAGCACCCAAGGCAGCTATCACTGCTCAAGGCTGCTTCTCTCTTAACCCTAAGGCTCCCAAAGCTCTTTCCCATAAAACTCTCACTATTAACACACCAACATTCATTTGTGAACATGAATTAATTCCCTCTGTGTTTTCTCTTGCAGTAAAGCCTGACCCCCCCCAGTGCCAGCACGTGGCCACCAATGGAACAGTGACCTGGACCTACCCCAGGACCTGGAGCACCCCAAACTCCTACTTCCCTTTGACTTTCAAGGTCAAAGTTAAAAGCACCAGGAGACACAGATACCAGGTAGAAACACAACATTTGAGACACAATTTTCTTGCCTGAACGGTAGAAATAATTTTTGTATGCAAGAATAATCAACAAAAATTTAAAAAATGGTCCTGAGCCCCAAAAGTGGCAAATTGTGTCCTGGCAGAAAAAGCTTTTCCCAGGTCCATGAGCAGAAAGATCCCTGAGGAAGCTGAGGACAGAAAATCCTGTCCAGCATTGCATGGTTGTGTTTACTAATTCATGAGGAGGCTGTGCAGGGCCTCGGGAGGGAAAATCCCAATTTCCAAACCCAGAATTCCAGGATCCGTGACACAAATTTCCTCCTGTGTTGTTCATCCCTGGGCAGCTCAGGCTTTATAGGTGAATTGGAAATCAGAGCTCAGTGACTCATCTGGAAGCCTTTCTATGGAGAGTCTGGTCCTTGCCCCCTGATTTCCAGTTAATTAATGGGATTAATTAACTGTCTCAGGGTTAAATCTCCAACGTGTGCCCAAATTACCTCAGACACACAATGGCCTGCCTTGGAGGCAGCATCTACAATAACAGAGCTTTTCCTAAATGCATTAATGGTCAGCAGGCGCTGAAAATATTCCTGTGTGACCAGCAGAGCCCTCTGCAACCCCTCCAGGCCAAAAAAGAAGGATGTTATCCAGATTGAGTTTAGGAATGTGCTTAATTTTCCATAAAAAAGGGAAAGCCTCTTGCCCACAGGGCAGCTGGCAGTGGCCAGTGCTGCCCTTCCTGGGTCCAGCACTGCAGGGCAGGCAGCAGGAAGGGTTATCCCGGGTTATCCCGGGTTGTTATCCCGGGTTGTTATCCCGGGTTGTTATCCCGGTTCTCCGGGCCAAACCAAAGGCACCAGGGGATGTTTCCCGCTGGGATGGATCCAGCCCGTCCAGCAGATGGGGCCGTTCCCCCGGGCTCAGTCCCGGCTCCTGGAGGTGAAAATTCCTGCAGCCCTTCGGGAGGGGCTGGGGATGCTCCTGAGCAGGAGCAGCCTCTGGCTCTCAGGGCTCCTGCTCTGGGAGAAGGAGGAAAAAGAGAAAAACCCAGATTAACAAACCACCCCTTTGTTTAATGAGTGTTAGGTTTGGGGTTTGGGTCATTCAGAACATCCAGCTCAGAGGGTTTGGGTCATTTACACCCTCAGTGGGTTTGGGTCTCTTTGGGACACCCCTCTCCGTGGGTTTGGGGCATTCAGAACACCAAGCTAAATGCATTTGGATCTCTTTGGAATACCTCCTTCAGTGGATTTGGGTCATTTAGAACATCCAGCTCAGTAGGTTTGGATCTCTTTGGGACATCTCCCTCAGTGGGTTTGAATTATTTAGAACACCAAGCTCA